CTAAGTCCAAAAAGATTTTTTTATTATAAGTACAGTAACAAACATGTTCTGTTTGAAACAAAGCAAAAATTAGAATGCAGTAACAAAGCTACAATCGCATATTTTCAATTTATTGCGAACAATAATTACAGTTTTTTACCATTTAATATATGCATACGTAATAAGCAGAACTTGAAAACCTAAGAAAACGGGAAACAAAAGTAGCATTGATTTGCTAAATAGCGGATGAAAGAGCCGAGAAAACAGGAAAAACAAAGGGAATTGCGCTGTTGCTGTTAGTCGTTACATCAGTTTACTGCCCCTTGCAGTTATTTGATTAGACTGACTATTAAAACCAACAACTTTCAGCTTGACATATTGGCAAAGCGAGACATTCATTTTTCTTTCTGAATCCTTTTCTTTTTTGTTTAGCATTAGGGAGGGGGGATAAAAAAGAAGGTGGAGAAAAAGAAAAACGGAGGAAGGAGGCTTTTATTGTTGCTGCTGTAATTACACTATAGAACAGTTGTAGTGAAGTACTTTTTTCTGGTTTTGATTTTAATTTTAGTTTTTAACGAATTTTCTGTTCTATAAATTTATCTTTGAATTATCTAAGAAGAAAATTAATAAAAACCGGAAACAGCAACAGTCACTGCCTGTAAAAAAATTAAAAAATCTTGTACAGCGGAAGAAATGACGGTATTTTCTTTGTATGCAAATTGTTAGCTGATAAATTACATTAGTTCAGTTGTTTAAAAGAAGGGAAAAGACAAAGAATAAAAGAAAAGAATTAAAAAGAAATTATTTTTTTTTGTTTGAACGATGTTTACCGTTTGCTGCATAACGGCTTTTCGCAACACAGCAAACAATATAGCAGCATGTGGCAGCAGAAACATCTATCAGTCCGTGGGCGATTGAAGTTTCTGCTTTATCCTCCTGCTGCAGTTTTCATTGAGGACTTAGAACGATCTCTTACAGCCGCAGCAACAGCAACAGCAGCAGCAGCTGCAGCAGTAACAGCAGCAACAGCAACAGCGGTAGCATTAATAGCAAAAACAGTATTTCCGTTGCTGTTTTGTGCGTGCACAATTATTTCTTTCTATTTTCTGCAGCCCAATTAAACCGTTTTTTTTTTCTGTATTTTCATTGCCTTACCTTTGTCTTAACAAATAATTGCTATAATTTACTTCACATATTTTCTTTTCTGTTTTTTTAATCTTTTTTCTGTTTACATTTTAGCCGTACTTATTGAGTAGATACTACTTTTTGGCTTTTCCTCAGTTCTTCCTCTTGTTTCTGTTGTTGCTGTTGTCGCTGTTTGAACTTGCTAATCTAACTATCGACTATCTATGTTAATGTTTGTTGGGTAACGATAGAAAAATATACTCATTTAAAATGAGCTTTTTTTGATTTGATTATGTAAATTATTTGTTTCATTAATACGGCTATTAATATTGTTAACTGTCCTCTTTTTATTCAGTGTTGTTCTCAATTTATTTTTCCTGCGACAGTAGCAGCAGTATTGTTTTTTTTTCAATCTTTCTCAGACAATAAGCTGGATATGTATATTTTGGACTTGCATTTTACTTGGTTCTGTGGCCAAAATTGTGGCTCTTTAAACAAATTCACTTTCTTCTTTTTATGGACGTGTTAAAAAGGCATATTTTGGCACCGGAAGTGAATTACTCGGCAACGGAACAAATACTGCAGTTGCAGTGTTGTTTAAAAAGAAAGGAATTTTTTTCAGACCAAGAAAAAGCAAATAATTTTAGTTGTTGTTGTTACTGCTGCTGCCGCTACTGCTGATCTTCAGTTTTTCATAAACAGCATCTAGAAGGAGAAGAACAACAACAATAGCAACAAACATTTATTTTAACTAAATTTAGTCGATTCTGGAAAAATAAAGTTGTCAGTGGGATTTACGGAAAGTGCATTTACGCAAAAAAAGATAAAGAAAAGAGGGTGGAGTTTTGCTGCTTGTTTAGATGCCGTTTTTTGTTGTTGTTGTTGTTGTTGTTGTTGTTCAAGTTAAAGAATCTTTGCAAATATGAGGAGGATGTGCAGAAAAGTAACTAATTTTGCCTACTCTTTCAAAACTGCCAAATTTTTGCTACCGAACGCCCTTTGTCTTTTCTATAAAAAAGCTCTTAAAGTAGCCTTGTTTGAGTCCTATGAAATGCACAGTTGATCGACTATTTTGGTAAATAAGCTGCACAGCAGTAGAAAAGATGAGGAATAATGCTCAGCTATGATGGTCATCTAAGAACTGCGTTTTTAAAGTGTTTGTAACAATGTTTTATATGAATTTCACCCAGTACTTTTTGCGTTGTTATGCTGAGACCATTGTTAATTTTTTCATTCTGGCTAGCATCATTAATTTTGTTGATGTCTTCAAGTCGGCTGAAAGATGACGAAGAATCCACAGAAGAGGAACAGGACGAAGATGATGGTTTGTTTAGTGTTACATCCAACGCATACGCAGTAAAAGCATCCAAAAGAATACGTAGTAGTTTTCTCGCACTGAATTCTAATCAACTTAAATTGCTGCCATCCGAGCCGATTAAACCAAATAGTTGGATCATTGGTGTTACAGACAAAGCTGTAACGCTAATCAGTAGTTTTATCACTGCTTTCTCATAGTGGCGGGAACCGAAGCATAAAATTCATGTAGAACTTTTTTTAAATTTTATCTAGCTAAGTTGCGCATGTATACATCCAATGAAATCAACTCGTTTCACAGATTTATTGTAGAAAGTAAAAAAAAGTTTTTGAAAATTAAAAATGGAATACAGTGAGAGATAATTTCTCTAAACATTCAGTCCTGAGTTTTTCAACTTTTAATTTATTTTTTAATAACAGTTGTGCTTTTTAACTCAGACAAATGTTGCTGTCCTTTTCAACAAAGTATTTTATTATTCAACTTACAATCTTTAATATATCAGAAGTTGGGAGGGGCGAGTAATGCTTCAAAAAAGAAGCGCTTTGAGCCGGTTTTGTGAAACGAATCGAAGGGGAGTGCAGCTGAGTTCCGCCTATGAACAAAGGGGTATTTGTTAAACTTTGATCTCATGGGAGGATGCAAATTCTTATAGGCTTTAACAGTAAAGTAAAAAATTTTAGCGTCTATGTGCTTTTGAAAGGGGTGTAGTTAAACAACCATCAATTGTTTTTGCTTTCTGCAAAAATCAGCTTTGCCTAAATTCCTTACTTATCCTTTACTTGTTGCTCCAAACCAATATATTTGTCTAGCGAACTTAAATATGTTATGACTGGCAAGGGATGTATGTGATGGAACAGAAACGACTTATATATCAGCGTGAAGTTTCAATTAAGATCTACAAAATTGACTGTCTGTTCTTGTATTCCAAATGAAGGGAAGAACAAAGTTTTTAAGTGCCATAAAACGGGTCAGTGGTTTTTTGAGGTTGTCCGCTGATCAACGGTATTGCATATGAGAGACGTGAAGATGAAGAAGCGCACATGAATTTTAAAAAAAAAAAGAGGGATTTTCAGCATTTAACCTTTTTTTCGAAACATCACTGTTTTTACTGACTCTTGTCTTACACAAAAGGTATAAAATTTAAGCTGCTGTTGTGAGTTTCAATTTATAATCATAAAACTGTGGATGACTGCAGCAAAATAGTAGGGTTTTTGCTTTTGTTTGGCTCCCTTTGATCTCTTAAAGAGGCCGTGTTGTTGCGAGAAGCGCCGTAATAAATACTCTTTTTGCAATCCAAATTTATTTTTGGAGACTTAGAGGAATGGAAAATTATAATAATTTTTTCTGGTTTAGCGAAAAAACCGGGACATGAAGGCCTTTCATTAATCCTTAATAATAATACGTCCTATTCTGCAAGGCAACAGAGCGCCAGTGAGACAACAATACGCTAGTCTCTAAAATCAAAACTTTTTTTTGCTTCGCCTTAATATGCTAGTTTTGATAGTCTGTTCCGAAGAACTGACTAAAATCAAATGTTAATGTAAAGCTCCTCAAGTGGCAATTTTTTGTCGGAACAAAAATGTGGATCTAGATTGATGGTTGATAGGTACTTCACAACAAATATTTCATATTTGAGGTTTATTGAAGCGGAAAAGAGTAGGAATTTTGGCTCAAGAATTCCGTTTCTAATAATTTCACAGCATTGTTAGGAGGTGAACTACCTGTTAAAGATATATTTGTCTTATTTATTCTTAAAAAGTTAAAACAGATAACCATACTGAACGGAAAAAGCTCAAGGAAACAAATCTCTTTTTGGTGCTAGGGAGAAATTTTGCAAAATCAACGGTTTGCGAACGAAACCCCATTTCAATGAATCCCTGAACACTCAAAAGCCGTTTAATTAACCTTACTTTTCAAAAATACGAGTGTCATTTCTTATAAACCTAAAAGGGACAAAACATAAATAAAAGCAGTGAAAGTTTATTTGGAATCTTGGGTATCGGTAAAAATATTGGATGACTTGCGGTCAGACTTCATGCGCCTGTATAGCTTTAGAATGTCTAGGAGAACATGGAAGATAATGACGAGGCTCAACTTTTATACTTTGGCTTTCAGTGCAATTAAATCCAACTAAGGAAACAATTTATTTTGTGAAACCGATTAGAACATCTGACAGAAACTTCAGAACGTAGTCTACGAAAATCCACTAAACAGCTGAATCACTATACTCTTACTTAATTTACTGCAAAACAACTAAAAAAATTTTTAAAGGACTGCAGACTGCTTTAACGCTAATTACAGTTCAGTCATTAAGCGTCCAATGACGGCTAATCGGCGAAATAGCTAAAACAATTCCATTGGCTTTGGCAGAGCCAATATAATTTTTCCTTAACAGCCTAAGACTACATTTTTTTCCCTGGTACTACTATTTGAACACGCTGAGAGATTTCCAATTAGAAGAGTAAATACTGCAA